CGCGGGGGGCAGCGCGCGTGTGCCCCGCGGAGCGTGTGCTCGTGGAACGCCGGCAGCGCGGCATCCCGCTTGGCACAGCTTGCGCGGAGGAAGCACCCGTAACTTGCCCCTTCGGTCAGGAGCGCTCTGAACACCACGGGAACTTGGTCCCTTCGCAGCTTCCTCTCCCATGTTCTGCCCTGCGATCGTGCAGGCTGTATTTCTCATTTCTCTCTACGCGCCATTTAGAGAAAAATAAAGCAAAACGCCGAAGTTTTGGGTTTCTTCCCACACTCAAGGAGTGACACATTTAAAAGCTTCTTTTAAACATTTCCATTCAGCCACAGCATTGGTTAAAGACACAGTTCCGCATCAATTCCTCGTGCCAGTGGCGCGAAGGCACTAGTTCAAACAGTCCCGAGCAACGCACCAACCCAGCTGAGCTCCCTCAGCTTCATAGATTTCTTCAGGATTTACTCAAAAAGGACCAAAATCAGAGCCAGGGATTTTGTGTAAAAACAAGCTGGGCTTTACAGTTCTCACTGGGACAATTATTCCCAAAGGCTAAATGCGTACCACTTACCATACATTTTGCCTTCATCTGATAAGATGATTTTCCTCCTCCCACATGGTGGATAGATAGCTAGAGCCTCCTGAAAGCTCTGTTCAATGTCAGGGCTCCAGACACCTTCTGCATCATTGTCAATAGGTTTATCTGCAGAATCACTCATTCTTTCAATATCTTCGGCAGGACTCTCGCTGCCGCTCCAGCTGCTGGGCTCAATGGTGATGGCTGGGGTCTCCAAGCCTAAGCCTGGAGTCTTAAAGGAAATATACCTACAAAACAAAAACAACCCCAAAAGGCATTAAAGACATGGAACTTCAGGCGAACATTTCTGTCTACTTCTGATGCTAAGTTAACAGCAACTGAGCAGTAATGGCAGTAACACGAGCATGGGAAGCACCCAGGAAGAGTAAAAATTAATAACCGTTCTACCTCAAATCAGCAGAGGTGGAGCGATAAGGTTGTCAGATGGGGAACTCTATCAAGTTTTTTTGTGTACAATTACATGAAAGCATAGAGCATCAGGTTACTTTTCACAGATAGTTAAAGCGGGTCTTACTACTCCGTAGCACATGACACATTTCATCTGGCTGAAGTCTGGCACCCTTAAAATAACGAGCCAGATCCTCAGGCAGGGGTAAATCAGCATACTTCCACTGGCTGGAAGGGAAGTTTACACCAAAGCAACCACCAGAGCTTAAAACCACTTAAACCTAAAAACAACAGCAAAAACTATTGTTCACATTCAGCCGGATGTCAGTGGAGTAAATGGAATTACACTAGTGATGACACAGCTCAATGTGATTAACTGGAAAAGGCTGTAATTTTCAGATCTTACCCAAATAAATAATCCCATCAGAAGCTGAGCTACATACAAAGAGAAATCTTTAAAATCATGATACTAGAGAAAGGAATTACAAGAAAAGATATATACTTTGCCTGTTTTAAAAGGTCTCTGTCACAGAACCATAGCAGAACAAAAATTACAAGCTTCAAGTTGCTGAATCAATTTAATAAGAAATAATTTAATATAGCTGCACCTGCTCACACCACCAGAGCTGCAGATCTGTCAGTGTGCCTTTTATATTTTTGAGAGAAATACAACTCTGCTATAGAGACTTGCTCCAGGCAAAAAAGCTGCTATACCAGACCAAATTCATCTCTGGTGTAATTCTTTGGGAAGTTAGTGAAATAACACCAGGAACAGATTTGGCTCAACATGTCTAGGCATAATGCAGTTTTATTTTGAAAAATGAAGAATTTTGGTGACTCTAACCGATCTAAGTGAATGGGACTGTTCAAACATGCATGCATGAGCTGCATACGCACTTACAATTCAGTTGGTTGGCTAAACACTCAAAAACCCCCTAAACTAACATTTTTATTCTGCTGGGGGAGATGAAAGCAGGTCCTTTCTACAGGCAGAAGAGAGGGGCTTCCCCTTCCACACACCTCCATCCTCACACTGATAAGCCTCTCAAATGGGGTCTCAGTAGGTCGTAAACTAACAAGTGAAAAGTGGCAGAACAGCATTCACCCCACAAGGAAGGGGTGAAGGGACAGCTGTAGGACAGAGGCCGTGACAGCTCTGATGAAACACCTTTGGGCTGGAGAACTCCCTGAAAGAAGAAATATTTCCAGCAGCCCTCGTCCCAACTAACCAACCAACCAACCAATCACTAGAGATAACCAAAACCTGACAGTCCGGTCCCTCGGAGGCTGTAGCGCCTTGCAAGTAAAACCAGAGCTGGAACTGGGGAAATGGGGAGTAGTCTCGGTCTTGCTAACCAACATCCAAAGTATGGGCTATTTCCACTTCTCCAGGCTCCAACAGGAGGATGGATGGGTAAGTACAGGTGAAATGGACTCCCAAGAACCTTATTTTCCTTACTTAGTCTGTTTCTACAAAGAGGAATTTGTTAGCTTCTCATCGGTTTGAACATTTCAGCAAAGCTTATGAAAATGTTAGTGCCTACCCACCAGTGACCTCAAGGCTAATAGCGTCTTGAATGCCTTTTAATAACTAATAATGAGGGAGCAGATGGATTCACAGGAAACCACATACAAACGATAAGTCCATGGAAAGTCTGGCCAAAGACATCACTTATTGTCTGTGAAATCCAAATGTACAATTTTTTTTAAAGTGTCATCACGAAAAGGGAGACGTAAACCTTTGTAAATTAGTGAAGCACCATCCTTTATAATTCTCAGAAGGCTGAAGGATCGATTCAGTCCTTGCAAGATTTGAACCTTGTAGGCAAGGTTTAGCCAAAACATAAACACAGCAATACTGGGAAAGAACTGACAAAACCAATCATGTCCACTTAAGCCTTCAAATGCAGGGGAATTTTAGGTAAACGAGAGGTAATTGAATGTTGACTGGGATAATCTGGGGGGGGCTATGGGGGGATCGGGTGTTCAGTTTTACTGCCACAGTGCAAGGAAAAATGGCTATTGGAGATTTTATTGGCCTTGTGTGATTGAGACCATGGTTTAGCGTTTCACCAGAAGACAGCACAGAGCGGGACTGTTTATTGGGTCAGTTTTTCAAAGGTGACTCAGGGAGGAAATCCTTCCCCTCCCAGATCCCAGGCACGACGCATGCAGCATGCATCACGGCCAGGAGTGTCTTTCACTAAGCCCAACCACTCTCTGCTTACAAAATCTGCCACAGTCATAGCCTCAAGTCTTATTATCGTCCTATAAACCAGTCCCTGTTATTACATTATGCTGAAATAATAATTAAAATTCACACAAGGAAAACAGAGACGCTCTAAAGTAATTAATGTTACTTGATATTCATGTTAGATCTTGCATTGTGTTTACTGGTGAATTTTCACTAATGTGCTATCTCCCTTCCCAATCCTTTTTACCTACTTGGATATCATCTTGAGGCATTAGCAGCTACTATTCCAGCCTCTAAAATAAGACAACCAAGTGTTTCTTCCAGAACATCTGTACAACAGGGGTGAGGGAGCAAGCTGCTGGAAAAGAAATCCTCTAGTACTAAAGGTTGCTTCTAGTGATTTCCATTTTGGTGAACGCTGACACTGCAGATCAAGCTAGAGGACCAAGGAGCAAAAAACCTTGTATTACAACCACTAAAAGGCTCCCTCTTATTACAGGAAAATAATGAGCTACTCAGTTAATCACTTCCAGCTCAGCTCTACGTATCAAAAGGCAATCCCACCTCCTTAGCTTGGATTCTAAGGACACAAGTGAGATGAAAAAAATTCAGATGTGTTATGCTGGAGTTCAATGTGATTACAAAAAATAATAGAAGGTGTCAATAGATGAGCTTTGTTGTACATTTCTAATGAGCTATGTCATGTGAAAAATGTGGATTTACCGTCCAATTTAAATTGATAAAATATTTTTAAAAACCCAACCAAATAAGCCTTCCGTATATTAGCAAACTCACAGATCTTACAATACCAACTTTCAGCAGAGGAAGAGTTAATCTCCTGGAGGCAATTAACCTACCTCCAGGTAGGTTACCTACCTACAAGTTTTTTTTACACAGCAAAAGCAGAGCTTGCACACATGACAGATCAAGTTGAAGATTTCTGTATTTGCTTTTTATCATGTTAACTTTTAAAGAACCAATTTCATGCCTGTACTTTCTGTTAACAAAATTAAACCACCCCAACACTACCCAGAAAACAAACAAAAAACCCCCAGCAACCCAAACCCACATTTTGGCTAACTTTTTGTACTTTCTAAGATTGCTTAAAGCACACTGCCACAATTTAGGAGGTCTCTCTTCAGAGTTTCCCTTTTAACACCAGTCTCACCTATTTCAAGACAGCTTTCCCTGTGTGTAAAACTCCTCTAATTGCAAACCTGAACGCATCTTTCTTGCAGTTGCTTTCTACTCTCTCCAGTTAATTCTAAAGTATATCTGGTTTTCTCATGTAGTTAAGACACTTTTCCTATGCATGACGACGGAGGTATGTTCCTCCTTCAAATGCAACCTTCTCCATTTAGCAATGGAGAAACTATTAGGAACAATACTGGATTTCATAAATACATTTTACAGCCAATCAATTCAATACAGCTTGATGAGGTACAAGATATGACTTATTTTCATTATGTTCACTTGGTAGAGTAACTTGAAAAGTTACTTAAAACCCTCAGAGAAACAAGGATAGCTACTGTCAGAGCTGATCAAACCATGAATTTAACTAAAACCAAATGATAGTCTGCAACACCTTACGAAGGGAATGATTTCTTTGCTTGCATAAAACATTCTCTCATGCCTTCACTTTATGAGCAATGCAAACCTGGACTTGCCCAGAAAGTTGCTGCTCACAGACCAACAACTGAGATCAATAGCTCTTCACAGGAGTGTAAGACAAGTGCAGATTTATGGCCTTGATATGTTTCATATCCTTCAATACTTGCACAATGAACTAACATGGAAACTTTGTCTACCAAGAGTCAGCACAGCTGAATCTTATTTTACAACATCCTGCAAAAGGTAAACCATTTTCTCTGCTTGTTCAATTAATTTACTTTCATGAATTTCAGCATACAGGTGTCGAACAGTGCCTTCGCTGAAGTGTTACTTGCATATATACATAAGCACTGCAAAAAGATTAATGCTCTGCAGGTAGCAGGAACATGAGAAAGACTAAAAACGTGCCTTGGCTTTGAGAAGTGACTGAGAAAAAACCAATTGTCTCCCCAGTCTTCTAAATTCTATCTGCTTGAAGGGGATCAAGTGCAGATATTTTTGAGATAACCTGCGATGGCATATGCAAAATTTGCAGGTGAGAAAGCACCACTGTAGTTATCCACACTGATCTTCTGGCTATGAATGGCTGCAGAAGGCTACCAAACAATTCTTAAAACCAGCCCAATGTTCTAAAACAGGTCTTTCAGAAAAAAAATTTACTTCTTAAGGTAAATATTTTGAGTGTTGAAGTGGTAAATTACACTTTTAGGAATATATTATATTTTTAGTTTGTGAACAACAACATCTTAGCTTCAGTTATATAATTGAACCAGGAATTCAACAAGTTTTTTATCAACATCAAGATGATAATGAGCAGATGAGTAAAACCCAACTAAGTCTAAATTTGCAGATGGCAAATTTTCTCTCAAGGCTTGAAAAGCTACAGGCCCATGGGATTTTCCTTCTGCTTTGTTCAGCAGTGCAAATCCACAGCTGGAGCGCTAAGGCTTCAGGAAAGAACTGCTGGAGAGAATCCAGAGGAAGAAAGTTATCAGATCTAGAAAACATGACCTACCAGGAAAGGAATTAGGTTTG